GCTTGGAAGGAGAAAACAAATTTCAACACAAATGAGGAAGAGTATATTGAAGAAACTGATGAAAGGACGTAAGAGAGCCTCCTCCCAGATATGGGGGAATCGTATCTGTCGATCTATGATACTATATTTCAAGAAACAAGAAAGAACTTTGTAGAAGAAGTGAAGGTAGTGGGTAAAAAGTCGGCTGGTTGTTTTGTTGTTTTGTTATTTTATTGGTGTCCGACAGAGTCGAAAGCGAATCTCTTTGGTTAAGGTTATTGGAATGATTTATATTTTCTTGAACAACTCCTAATGATTCCACTGTAAAGTGAGGAACTTGAAGAAAAATAACGGTGCATATTGCACAATATCTCATCTAAAGGCCTTTGTTTAAGGACATTCATCTGTTCATCATCTGTCGACAGAGATGATACTTGAAAACTCTTCCATCGTACGATGTTCTCTTCCAAGTGAAGGATTGACAACAATTGAGGAAGGCGCGATTATCGATTATCCTTCAATTGAACACGCTACCACCAACATCAAGATTGTAGAACATGTATCCTACTTGAGGGATGTTCATGAAGTGAAGTCTGAAGATAAAGATAAATCCCCACCATAACATAAGTGCTGGTGGTGATAAGAGACCACCATGGCCAGCCAATTCTCTTAAGTATTGATAGTGGTATGAGATCTTTTGATTGAGGGGTGTGAGATATTTCCAACAGATTTCAATTTGGCACAAGCTACTGCAGATACCCTTCTTGAAATCATCTTCCTCTAATCGCCACAGTTGGTGTGAGTACTTTACTTTATCTTGTGTGTCTCCCAAGAAAAGAATATCTCATCAATATCAAAATTCAATCCGGAGAAATTAGATAATACGGCATTGATGCAGCTCCTAATTGTATGTTTGAGATGATATCAGAAGCATGAAACTATACTTCTACATTGCGATTTCGGTTCCATAATACCCTACAAAGAAGTTTTGCCTAGTAGGTACGGAGTATCATCCATTGAATGATTTGCTTGGATTCCTTCGGAGCCTTACCTTCCCTTCATAAGAGGTAATGAGCACACTTTATATTCTAAGCTTCGCCAATAAAACATGAGAGTTGTATCACTTATCGCGAGTGCGTCCGATGTCCGTGATTCTTAGGAGTTAGTCGAGTTGAGAGCTGGCCCCCAGCTAGGAACTCTACTATCACCCGCGAGACAGAGTATAAGTCGTCTATATTAAGTTCATTTTCCACGGTGCCCAATAATTTGTTGCAGTGAAGATCATTTGTCACTTGCGCCCTCAAGCTGAGGAACCATTCTCTCAACGCACATCTCGAGCCTGTTGAGTCTCTTCTGCGTTGTAAGGTTCAGGTACAGAACTATCATTGAAGTGTCGATGAACCACTTCAAGTGATTCATGAAACGTGTAGCAGCAAACAGCATCCGTCATGGATTTTGCACCTTGCTTTACCAATGATCATGATTCCACTTCCATGATGTACTGAACACGTTGGGTATCTTCACCCCGAAATGTGGGATATCACCCGAGTTTCATACATTCTCATGATATCCGAAATGTCGGTTTCAACGGCTCTTCTTTGACAGTTCTCTTACAGATAGGAATTGTCATGACTAAAGAACCAAAGGTTAGTCGATTCTTGTGGTTGATGGTCGTTCTACAGTTCGTCACATGATACACCGAAAGTTCACCGAGCTTACTTAATGCTGCGAGCAGCCGTTTTCTGGCAAACACCTTATTAGCCCGTAAGCATGACCCCAGTCGTCCACTTCTTCAAGCCAAGCTGAGAACCAACCTAGCAGCTACCGAATTTCGAAGCCGATACGAGTTGCAATTCATGACGATCAATACAAGCGATATGATTGGTTCACTCCCCGCCTTCAACTACTCTTCCCCGCAATATTTGCAAGTAGAACTTGCCGTGGGCTTTCCCGTTACCATTTCATACCTTTCGGACACTCCTTTCTAGCCTTCAATGCTCTTCGGGATTAGGTCAAGGTAGTCAATCGAGCTCTAGAATGGATCAATGGCGGGCCCGAATGAAATGCCGTTAGAGGTTTCCGACCTCCACATGTAGTTCACAGCAATTTAATATTTTATATTAAAGTCTCACGATTTCCATTCTCTTTCCTGTTGCATTTTCATAACCATTCTACTTTCCTTGTCATCTTGCTTTCGTCAAGTCCCTTCTATTTTCGTCAAATCTTTCGAATTTCTCGGTCTTAGCCATACAGTCACAACGATGGAGAAAAGTATGGCACCCCAGGAAAACATTGGAAACACTGGAAGTGTAGTGAAGAAGTATGATATTGTAGTCATCGGTGCTGGGCCGGTAGGGTTACTGCTCTCAACCTGTCTGGCACGTTGGGGTTACAAGATCAAGCACATCGATAACAGACCAGAGCCAACCAAAACTGGAAGAGCAGATGGTATTCAGCCTCGGTCCTTGGATCTCTTACGGAACATGGGTTTGAAGCCTGCTATCATGGCATATGAACCTGCGAAGGTCTACGAGGTCGCATTCTGGGATCCAACGTCGGGCGGAAAGGGCATACACAGAACCGCGACATGGGCGAGTTGTCCTAGCTTTATCGACGCCAGATACCCTTTCACAACCTTGCTACATCAAGGAATGATTGAAAGGGTTTTCATTGCAGATCTGGAGAAGCACAATGTTCATATCGAGAGACCCTGGACGATAACAGGGTTCAAGACAGATGAGAAGGAAGATCCCGATCATCCAGTAGAGGTCAATTTAGCTCAAGTTGAAGGTAGTGTGAAAGAGACAGTTAGAGCTAAATATCTATTTGGTGGCGAAGGAGCTAGATCATTTGTGCGACAGCAATTGAATATTGGCATCAAATACAAGGATCCAATCGCACATGTATGGGGTGTTATGGATGGGGTTGTTCAAACCGACTTTCCTGATATCAAGGTAAGCAATTCTTTCCTATGCACATCATCTTAAGCTACCAATCACTGATAATTGATAGATGAAATGTAACATTCACTCGGATTTTGGATCTATCATGGTCATTCCTCGAGAGGATAACCTGGTTCGTCTTTACATACAGATTGCATCTTCGACCGATAAGGACTGGAATCCTAAAAAAACGGCGACGGAAGAAGAAGTGCAGGCATCTGCAAAGAAAATACTACACCCGTACAACATTGAATGGGAACGCGTGGAATGGTACTCTGTGTACCCAATTGGTCAAGGAATTGCGGAAAAGTATACTCTTGATCATAGAGTATTCATGGGCGGTGATGCCTGCCATACACACAGTGTAAGTCATATCTAGTACTCCCATCTCAACATCCGCTAACAAGAAGCAGCCAAAAGCTGGACAGGGAATGAATACAGCCTTCTTGGATGCCCAAAACCTTGCGTGGAAAATTCACCATGTCGAATCAGGATTCGCCGATCGATCTATTCTGCATTCATACGAGGCCGAGAGAAAGAAGGTTGCTGAAAGTCTACTGGACTTCGATGCAAAATATGCGGCTCTATTCTCACAAAAGGCGCCAGCTGCTGAGCATGTAGAGGCAGCTACACAACGGGGAGCAGAGCACGCAAACGTCGAGGGAGAGGAAAACGAATTCATCAAAACATTCAAAGAGTCCTGTGAATTTACCAGTGGCTATGGAGTGGCATATAACCCAAATTCCCTGAACTGGTCGTCATCTCATCCAGCACAATCTAGCGCCATAAATCCAAAGGGTAATAAGCTCCGAACCGGCCGCATCCTCACCAATTCCAATGTCACACGAGTCACGGATGCCAATGTTGTTCATCTCGAGCAAGAGATTCCTGTCAATGGTTCATTCCGAGTCTACGTTTTTGCCGGAAAGCCTGCAACTACCAAGCAAGCACTGGATGATTTTGCACAAAACATTACCAAGAAGGGTTCGTTCCTCTCCACATATTTACGATCAGATGTCGATAAGGTATCCTATCACGAACGTCACAACCCTCACAGTCATTTCTTCACCTTCTGCACAATTTTCGCGGAGAAGAGGCAGAATATTGAGATTGCACGAGACGTTCCAAAGATCCTGGCTAGGTATAGCGATCACGTCTATGCAGATGACATCTGGGATCGTGTAGTGCCTGATGCGAAGGCTTCGAGTCATAGCAAGATGGGATTGGATGAAGAAAGAGGAGGTGTGGTTGTTGTTAGACCGGATGGATATGTAGGAATTGTCGTGGCTTTGGAAGCAGGAAGCGTCACAGTGGACGCGCTGAATGAATATTTTGGAGTCTTCTGTTCGAAGAAGCTTGGGGAATCGAAGCCGTCACTGTAAGATTGATGGGGTCAAGACCTAGTATGCATTGTATGATTTGATGGCAATGATGTATGGAATTGCATTAGATTGGAGTTTGGCAAGAGCGCGAATTGTTATTGTACTTGGCATTTAGGTATTTAATGAATATCCCTACAGTTAAATAATGATGTTTAAACTGCCTACACATGTCATGATTTTATATTAAACATTCTGGTGATTGGTATATATCTATATCTACGTGCATTGATCAAATGTACCTATACTTTGTTGTTGTCTTCAATCAACACTTGGCGATCGTCTAGGCCTGAAACCCAGCTACACTACAACCAGCCCCTGCTTTTAATTCCGGCACCAACAACTCTCATCCAATCAAAGAGCTTTGTCCTCCTCAAAACCTTAAATTATCTTTCACCTCAAGCAGTTCCATATCCCGTACATTTACTAGGTAGGGCAAAGGTAAAGGTACCCATTACTTATTTCTCCATTTCTTCTTTCATCATTGATTTGCCGCAACTCTCACAACAATCACTCTTCCAAAAACCCACAACTACATGCATGCAATTTTCTCCAAATTTCAGCCCACTTGAAGGAACAGCACATCAACTATCCGCAATCAACATCAATCAGGGATACTCCAAAATCAGTTGAGATATCAGTTTTACGTACTTCTCAATGTTGGGCTATCCCAGCAATAAAGGAATTTCGCCTGTTCGTCATGACCAGTCTTAAGCGCAAAGCTAGTCAAGAGTTAACTCACAACTCGATAGAAGTTATTGAGGTATGTCCAGACTCTCAAGGCCTCATTAGATTAGGGCTTTCAAAGGGACAGGAGCTGACATTTTGGTAAGCCGATTCACGGAGACGAAATGTTCGAGACTATATTGGGTTGGTTTTGGGGCGCCTTGGAATGGTTTCGTAGAAGGGTCGATCCATTATATACAGACATGAGCTACAACAACATTGATGGTGGGTGGTACCGATGTATTCATACTGTATACTGAATTCACTAAGACCTTTTATATAGTAGTCGCAGACGAACATATTCAGAGGGCAGAAGCGAGAGAAGATGGGTCAACTGCGGTCAAGCGGCAGAGAAACAAATCAAGACGCGACAAGCACCGAAGTACCTCATCACATCAACCAAGGAAAGCATCAATAAATATGGACCCAACAAAGAGCTTGTCGGAAGAAGAGCTGAGGGCAGAGGCCGATGCGCAATGGATCCCACCAGCCTTCGGTGCTCCTACGAAACCCATAGAACAAGAGGTTATAGTGATACCGGATGATGACGATGAGGGGGAAAACGAAGAGGAAAGACCAAAGTCGATAGCAGACACGCTGCGACCACCACGATCACCCAAGGCTCCCACCACACGCCTCCAGTCGATGAGAGACCTGAGGCGCACATCTAAGGTCACTGTTGAGACTTCTTTACACGACCACCTAGCCGAATTATTAACTTTGAATGATGAACAAGACGATAAATCCGGACCTTCGCCATTTGCCATCTCGACACGAGCTCAAGAAAAGCATAAGAGGGATCGTGAAGCGCAGGAGCTCAAGGAAAAGCAAGAAAAGATTCGGATCGCAAAAGAACGCAGACTGGTACGACGAGATCCATCGAATCGGTTAGTACATGCATTGGACGACAAATGGGAGGACATTGTTTGTGAAGCTCTGGACCGTGCTCGGAAGAATGGGAATTTGCCAATTACCCAATCGCAGGGTGGCACTCCATTACATTACAAAGACTTTGGAACTCTACTGGGTAGAAACTCATGGCTCAACGATGAGATTATCAACACTTATATTGAATGGGTGGTGGAAGCTGCAAACGAATTCGCAAGAGAAGAGGCAAAGGCTACCGGAGAACCTGTAGGGAAAGTCCCAAAATTCATAGCACATAACAGCTTCTTTTACGAGAACTTGGATAAGAAAGGCCCAAGCAGTACACAACGTCTGATGGGTAGGAAGAAAGCTCCCGGAGTCTCGTTGCTTCAGGTTGACACGGTGTTTGTTCCTATCTGCAGAGGTAGTCATTGGACTGTAGGAGTCGTACGACCCATAGCTAGAACTATTGAGTATTTCGATAGTTTGCAAGGGTCTCCAAAGACATTCATCAAACTGACGCGGGGGTGGTTGAAATTTCAACTCGGTGCGGATTACAAAGAAGATGAATGGAAGACCCCAAACACTGGATGTACCAGACAAATGAATGGTTATGATTGTGGAGTATTCGTCTGTACAAATGCTCTTTGCGTTGCTCTGGGCGTCAATACTGACTGTTATAATGGGACGGATATGACGACCATGAGAAGGAACATCGCTGCGCTCTTAATTAATAAAGGCTTTCAAGGTGATTTCGCTTGGGGCCAGGGAGTTTTTTAAATTTGTTTTGTGTTTTTGGGACAGGCGTTTTTAAGCAAGGACAAAGGAACGATACCCATTACGTGTTGTATAAAAATGGCAGGTTGCCGGAAGGGTTTTAAAGATGCATTTCGAAAGATGGAGTCTTGGTCAAAAAGAGGAAAGGGAAGGGGAAGGGGAAAGAAGAGCCGGGGCAATGACCCTCATTGGATGGATGATATGAGCTCGGGGTGATTGCTCCGTATGATTGACACGAACACATGCGGAAGATGGCATGGTCTATTCCATCTGGTAGAGTCTTGTACCTGCTTATTAATTATTATACTAGTAGGTTGAATCACACATACCTAGTGATACTGGGTGGGAAATCCAAAATTATATCATAATTCGAAACTTGAACAATCACAAAGCACACTCGTAATATCTACCCAACAATGTGAATCCCGTATATCAATATAACCCATGGCTCGTGGCTCATGGCTCATGGCTCATGGTTTTTATCATAATTATACCACAAACCAACATATACCTACCCTACGTATAGCTAGCAGCTACCCCGGTTAAAATGCTAACTCCCCCACAAACTGCAGTCCATCCTTCTAGAATCCCCACTAATCTCTTAATAAACCAAAACCCGCTGCTAACCTCGATCCTACAATGTGCAAGTCGTCACTTACTACTCACCTTGTTTGCGACATAAACCAATCTCTACCTTTGTGACTATCAATTGAATCTACATAGAAGAAAGTTTCAAATCTTGTACATAGAGACGCGAAACAAGTATAAAACTGTTTTCATGCGAATGATAGAGGGCAAGCCTCTAAGATAAGATGGCGATGGCCAAGAAGGCACGGCAGAGAATAAGTTACGGTATGTCAACAGCCCCTGATTTCGTTGTGTGTGATGGCGTCGCATCGAGTCTCCGTATTCGAAATAGGAAAGAACGAAAGATTGTTCAGAAGCTGATTAATTGTTCTGCGCGATTGTAGTCTTACCACTTGCGAATTCTCCGGGCGGACATAGGTTGGGTGTGAATGGTTTGGCCGTGGATAGTGAGCAGTCAATTTTGTGAGTCCTGTGGCTTTTGTGTTGCGGTTTGGCTTCTTTGGTCATATGTTAGTGGAGTTCTTTAAGAAGAACTTCGGTTGAAATTGGGCGCATGGGTTAACAAGACAAAGATACTCAGGAGGCCGAGATGGTGCTATTTGCGCCTGGGATCTAAATTTGGATCTGCGACCGAAAGAGCCCTCCACCGATAATCCATTCGACGATCCGCCTTCTTCCGAATCTAAGACGAAGTCTGCGACCACCTTCAGAGCGCAAACTCAAGCTCATACGCATTGGGTTAATGATATAGTACTTGCCAAAGATAACACGGCTCTGGTGAGCGCATCAAGCGATTTGACTGTGCGGGTTTGGAGACCTTTGGAGAAGGACAGTGAACCGGTAACAATTGGTCAGCATGCGGATTATGTTAAATGCCTCGCCAGTCCTGGCAATACCGCCAATTGGGTTGCTTCGGGTGGTCTGGATCGACGAATTTGCCTCTGGGATTTGAATGGAGGCGGGAAACAACTCGAAATTGAAGTCGGTGACGAGGACACTTCTGAAAAGGGATCGGTATATGCGTTGAGTACTGGGAGCAATATACTGGCAGCTGGAGGACCAGAATCAATTGTGCGCTTATGGGATTCGAGGACGGGGAAGAGAATTACAAAGTTTGTGGGCCATACGGATAATGTTAGGGATATATTGATTAATGAAGCGGGCGATATGATTATGACAGCGAGTTCGGATCAGACAGTTAAAGTGTGGAGTATGACGGCTGGAAGATGTATGCATACACTCACAATGCACAATGATAGTGTTTGGTCACTGTTTTCTGAGGATCCATCGCTTGGCGTTTTTTACAGTAGCGATCGCTCTGGATTGGTAGCCAAAACAGACATCAGAGGTACACTAGGAGAACTAGATGATGGAGTTTCGCTGGCGCTGGCACAAGAAAATGATGGTGTTACTAGAGTTATTGCCTCCGGGGAGCATATCTGGACTGCAACGTCAAGTTCCTCCATTAATCGCTGGGCAGATGTCGATACTGGATCAGATATTCAGTTACCAGAAGCCTTTCAGCGTCATCGCGCTACTAGCTCTGCGTCAAAACCTAGGGCTGCTTCACCTCCTGTCACCCGTGGGCAACCTAAGAAAGAGATTCCTCTAAAATCCATTTTGAGGATTTCAAATACGGCAAGCTTTCCGGCGCCAGCCGTAAGAGATTCGGATTCTGTCAACAATTTCTCGGTAGTGAATGGTGGAGGGAAAACATCCGAGCCAATTGTGGATCAGGATTTGGGAGTGATTGTTCCAATTCATACATTACCCGAGGAAACTATCGAGGGGCAACATGGTCTAGTGAAGCACAAACTTTTGAATGATCGTAGGAGGGTTTTGACTTTAGATACTGCTGGAGATGTGCTATTATGGGATCTTCTCAAAGTAGGCGAATTTTGCAGAAGTAGTTTTAGACCTAAGACTAATTATAAAATAGTGCATGCCTATCAAATCTTTCGGAAAATGTCATCTCGAGGATGTAGAGCCGGAAGTGAATACAATGGAAGCCGTGGCGCCTTGGTGTTCACTGGACACTAGAACTGGTCGATTGGCTGTTGTTTTAGAGGAGTATAACTGTTTCGATGCGGAGATGTATGCGGATGAACTAGAACTGAAAGATGATGTTGAGTTCAGAGAAGATCAAAGAAGTAAGTCTATTCTTCGGGACGGTGGAGGTATCAAGCTAACAACTCATAGTAAACCTCGGGAAGTGGATATTACGATATATTTTCTCTAGACTGGTTGATGAGCAGATTAAGAAGGATGAAGCCTTCCGCGCTGAGCTTAACGAAAGCGTCAAGGCAAGGCGAGAAGCCAGCCCTCCAATCTCAATCATTATACCCAGTGCTTCTGTAACCGCTTGGGATCAGCAAGGTACCTTGACTCCGCGAGCAACTGGCGCATCTTATCCTGCCATGACCCCTGGAATGGGTATTGGTGTTGCCACTCCTGGGCTTGGGAGTCATCTACCTTCTGTGTCCGAAGATGGCGGGCCATTGGATAAAAGAGGATCACAAGCAAGCCGGAGCTCAGCGGACAAGCCAGACTATTTCGGAAGCTCGGCAATCACAAATGATCCTCCTAAACAACCAGTTGTGACGACGAGCGACAGTCAAGAGGCTAAATCTCCAGCGGTAGATGCAGAAAAGGAGAGCAATGGTAAAGATAGCAGTAAATCATTCGGCATGAAGTTCCGTAAAGGAATGTCATTCGGGACGAAGAAACTTGGCCGTTCATCTTCCACTACCATGGATAAACCGGTCGTACTAGACGACAACAAAGATAAAGCCACAGACGAAGGGTCAGAGTCTTCGGAAGCGGGTGATAAACCTCCTGCCGAGAAAGAAGTCGAAGATAATTTCAATGGTACGATACAGAAGATTCGAAACGAATACGATAGATTACTCGTGGAGAATCCGGCTCAAGAAGTTGAAACTGGTATTACGCCTAGTTTGCCACCTGAGACGCCAGTGCTAAAGATTCCTGGTGGCACAACAGTTATCATCCAAGAAGAAACAAGTGGTGGTGTTAAGGATCTGTATAGAGGCAGTGTAGAGACGGTGGGCGAAGATGCTGATCTTATTGCCGAAAAGGCTCCAATGTGGTTGGGCGAACTACTCCTAAAGGTAATTATCTCCCCATACCTCTTCAAGCTTACCTTTTATATTCCAAATCTTCAGAACCAAAATCTAACAACCAACAGAACAAAATCCCACTCAAAGATCCTGTCAAAGTCTCATTCATTCTTCAACCCTACCAAGATCTTCTCCCCTCTATCGCAGGCCCTGATGGTAATGCGAGACTCAATGCAAATCGCATGTTGAGAGTTAAAAAAATTCTGGCTTATGTGGCGGAGAGAATCGAGCCGGCAAGTGAGCAGCCGAAACCTGAGGTCATGAGGCCGGAGGATTATTTGGATCTATATTGTTCTGAGCAGGTTTGTCCCTCGTCTCTTTCCCCTATATCTTCTCTTATCTTTCAGAAATCACTTCTCTAGATGCTCTCAGTGAGATGAGGCTTCCGGTAATCAGTTATCAAAGTATACGACAGTGAGATAGGAAAATATAGCTAACCCACGCCTCAAACAGAAACTCCCCATAACAATGTCCCTCGCTACCCTCCGTGCACACGTCTGGAAGGGTGGCGCGGATGTCTTGTTGTATTACAAGAGTAATGGAAAGAGGACTATCAGATCCGAAAAGCTTATTCAGGAAAACGGGGACGGTGAGCAGAATTCTGGGGATGCCGGTAATGTCAATAGAATCACTAGTGCTGGAAATGGTGCTGCGACGCCGGTGACTGGAGGTGGAACTACAAGTTATGTTGGGCCGTAGATGCGAGTTGAAGTTGGAAAGGACAAGACAGAAGCCGTGAAAATAGGAAATGGAGAGGAAAGAAGAATCTTGGTTATGCACGAATGGCTCGCATGCTAAGTCGTGTGTTCATTTGGTATAACGAAAGTTTAATAGGAATAGTGTATGGATTGGTGAACGAGAGGTTTGAAACCTGCTTTGGATGGATGGAATATAGTAGGCTATGTTATACTTGATAGTTGGAAGCTGGATGCTCGAATTTAGGAGTAAGATTTAGGGGTGAATAACGTTCTTATACTTCTTATCTATTTGGAATTGGGAAGACTGAAGGTGCTGCAGTGTGGGATGTGCGATTTTGTAGGATGGGTGTGGTGATGCTTTTTGTGGGATTAAGATATTTGAAAGTTGAGTTTGCATGCTTGAGTATGTGTGGTGAAAGGGGATCGATGATTGGCGAGATATTTCTATATCCTTTGGTAATCTGCAAATAGTGAGAATCAATCGCGTGTGACGTAAACACTTTTGGGGTGAGACAAAAGAATTGCTATTAATTTTCCACTAAATATCAAGATGACCAGTTCACTTCTATGGCGATTCATCCAAGTAGGATCGACAAATGCTTGATTGTTGCTTTGAATTTATATGTAGCATTCAAAGTTATAGGTGGTGGGAGGGAGATAAAGATGAAAGAAGTTGGCATGCTGATCATGCCCGCAGTTTAGCTAGTACGGTCTGAGTTTTCCTTCTGGTATTTAATCAAGCTGGGTATTGATAACATGTTTAATACTACGAGGGACGGGTATTGGGAATGTATGAAGTGGAAGCTTCGAGGACGGGGAAGGTGCATCTCTATTCGTGAATCGGGTTGGTTTTGAGAAAGAAGTCCATTGATGGGTTTTGATAGAGGGATGATTATGGGGAGGGTCATTCATGTCACTTGTTTACGTTGGCATTTAAAGTGATGGCTAGTCTCTGTTACAGAATGATGTTCTCGAGTATGGGTATTCACAGAGACTCCAATCGCTCACGATGAATTTGAGAAGCCATCATATCGTGTCAACAAGTGCACTCTCCATATTTTGCTTAGAACATTAAACCTCTTGATTCCCTATCTCTGACCTCGTATCCGCACTGTCTCTCCATCAGACATGCAACAAGAGTTCATAGTGACCCCAGTACCTACGTAGCCTTTTGCACAAACTCATCTGCCAATCTCTGTAAATAGAATCCTCGAACATCCGCAGGCAGACTTTCAAAAGACTTCACAATCTTTGCAATATCTTGTCTTCCTTTCTCATAAGCTTGGAGATCGCGATTACCGTATACGTCTTTGCCTGCCGCATATCCATTTCGGAGATTGCGGAAGAAGACGTTGACAGCGACGCTTATGCCAGAGGTGGGTGAGGCGGTATGTAACCAGAGCGAAGGGAGGAATAGTACGTCGCCCGGTTGAAGTAAGACTTCGTGTGGGTGCGTATGTGAGAGGATAGGATCGCTGAGGTTTTCAAAAACATTGATACCTGAGCTTGAAGCACCAGGGGCGAAGTCGAAATATTTGACATCGGAGGGTGGAAAGAGTAAAAGGCGTTTAGAGCCCCTGACTTGGCAGAGAACGTTGGCCATGACCTATAGACATTAAGACTTGAGGTCCATCTTGTAAGCTCGTTGGGAGAAACTTACATCATAATGTAACCACATATTCACGGGTCCGGAGATACGTAGAGGAGAGCTATGTGCGTTATCCGTAACAGACGCCAATTCTGAAGGCAACTTAAAATCCGCCGCAATCGCAGGATAATCTTTCACAATATCGGCAGGGAGTTCCGATGCCTTTTCTGCAGATAGTGAACGTAGATAGAGCTTACTTCCCTTTTCTACCTCGTCTAAGAAGTCGCCAAACTTCTTTGTTACATACGCGAAGTTCTTCGAGCTAAAGTTCATATTTTCTGATGATGCTTCGTGCACAATGACCTATAAGAATTAAAGACGGATTATAAGGTGGACGGGTGCATATTTACCTCTCTATCCGTACCAACTTTGTCCTTCAGATACTCCGAGGTCCATTCTTTAGTGCAAACACCGATATCGAGTCCTTCAAAGATGACGGGTTTGCTGGCGTCAAGAATTTTGTCAAACTCTACAGATGAATTTATCTTGACCCGTGATACTTTGATCAGAGTTTGGGTTCCTGGAGCCGAGCTTGAGAGGTTGGTAGGAGTGGATTTAGGAGCAGCGGCACCATCAAAGTCATGCACAAATCTCCATGGCGCACACAAAACATCGTTCGTTGCATTTTCACCGGATGTGGGATCGCCAGAATACTTTGTGGTCAACGTATAGCAGCCCTTGTTCCAGAATGTTCCAAATGAAAAGCATACTGCTGAACCGGCCATAATTATGATGTTATCACCATTGGAGATTGCAGAAGTTCCAACGAGAAGCGGTCGTGGTTCAAAATTCGTCGATAGGCTTGAGCAAGAGAGTCCGGCTCTCTTCATACCTTCAATACTACTGCCACATATCTCATGTGAAAGGGGCAATAGAATATCTCTTACAATACCGCCTACAACGATGATATTGCCTTGGTGGATCAGTGCTTGTGCCCCAAAACGGGCAATAGTTGCCCCGTTTTCGGCCTTTGTCTTGGGACTTCCAAGAAGTGCGAAAAGGATGGAAGGTTGCTGTCTATGTCAGCTTAAAGATCGAATGTAGCTAATTGTGAGACTTACCTCCCCTATATGTTGCGGTATACTCCATTCCCAAACCTCCTCTTGGACTAGTCCATCTTCAGCTATGCCACCAGCAATAACTCCAACGCTTGACCCTGGAGGATTAGATGGCAATGCTTTAGGATAGATAACAAGAGCAGAACCAATAGTAGATGATGGCCGCTTGTTTGAATCTATGCTGCATTTCACCCATCCACCCTGTCGGCTCCATATCATGATATCATCGACAAGAGTTCTTGAAGTGCTTTTGCCTCCAATCACCATCACATAACCATTGCCAAGATGAACAGCCGAATGGCGGTATCTTGGCTGAGGGAGATCTTCAACTCTCTCCCAAGTGTTCAACCATTTATGGTACACCCAACAGTCCGCAATCGAATTATCTGGCGACGTTCTACCACCAACTAATAGAGATCCACCATCGCCAATTTCGGTGATAGTGTGGCACATGCGACTTGATGGCCATGAATGAGAACCTTGATAATCGAATGAACTGAAACCATGTACATCTGTAGAATACAAGTCGCAACTACTGACTCGAGTATTGAGACCCATGCCTGAAAAGTTACCAATGAGATCTTGGCCCTTTCTGTCACTTTTTAGGGAGAGTGGAGCTGCAAATCTTCGTTGGCCTTGAGATTTTGGATATTCAGAATATGTGCTTTCAGTGCAGCTAGTCTTAAAGTCATCTAATTTTTGCTTAGAGCTCTCTTGAATCGCTTCACGATTCGCTTCACTCACATTGTCTGCGACGAGCAATAGATAATGACAGCCAAATAAAGCAAACTCTTCCCACTCGTCGAAAGGTTCAACGCTGTCCAAAGCAATTCTTTCACTAGAATCTAGAAAATCTTCGGCTCCCCAAAGCTCCCATAGATTGCGAACTAATACTGATGGCCACCCCAAAGAGCGGAAACGTCTGTCTTGCGCCGCCACAGTTGGGTATTTCTTGCAGGCGCCTAAAGGCGTACCGAGCTTGTCAAAGTGTGCCATCATTGTTTTGGCAAAGGGATGACTTATTTCTTCTGGAAGTAATTGCTCTAGAAGACAGAAACGAGCTGAAAGAAGTTAACTTTGCATCCCTAGAGAAGATAGGAAATAATTTTACCATCGGGTAGTTTATTTGCCCATTGTATCAATGCATCTGCTGCCTCTGTAGGCATATATGTGATTGAGACCTCTGCCGTGAACAAGAATGAACATTTCTCTATATCCACAACTTTTGATATAGTTTCTTCAAGCCGCTTAAGATCTCGTAAGTCACATCCCAGTTGCAAGTACTGATCACTACTGAGCAACATGTCACCATTTTGAACAATATCCAGATTAGTGACCATAGAATTGAGCTCTGGTGCATTTTGTACCACCGTTCGCTTCTTGATCATTAAATCTCTGTAATCGATATCGATGAACTTCACACCTTGAGAAGCAGCAGGATATCTACTCATACATTGCCATGGAAGAGGATCACTTTGGAACATCAGCGAAAAGTTTGTAAACTCGAGGTTTTACGACCTACTATCCGCATCCCAGATTGATAACAACCTTTTGTTTTTCAGACTTCTGCTCCAGGAACTGTTTCACTACATGGTCAATGGCCTTCATACGTAGCCAATATCCACGATTTATGAGAGGGGATCGCCTAAGGGGTTTTTTGACGAAATAACGAAAGAAATGTGGCTCATTTGGAAAGTAGAGACGTTCAACACTGCGTTTGGAAACAATACTGCTGTTATTGGTCTATTTTTCATTAACATACACAGACGATAGGGGTTTTCCAGTTGTAAAAACTTACACCCATAATCGAATCATCCGTTTTCTGGGCTTTGGTCTGCCCAGACGATTTTGAGACTTTCGCTGGGCGACGCCCGTTTTGTACTTGACCTTCCATAGTTTTAAAAGATTTATCCCTTACCTATAATAAATCGAAAGGTCTCACAATATGCTCAAGAGTCCTCTGGCAAAATTTTGATACTGGATCTTCAATAACTTTGATATTTTAGTCTAGCGGCCGAATTACCGAGATTTAGGCGGCGAACCAGCTCCCATTCCTGAAGCTCTTTGGAGAGAATGGGAAACAACCCCGCGTCCTTCAATAACTTCCTTGAAGTCGTTTATCGAGGTATCAATCTGAAATTCGAAATCAAATGTGCAGCTCATACAAAAGAACATCAATTGCTACAGCTGCGCTGTCTAGTTGATCTTGAGTAACATCCGCAAAAGAGCCATTCCTCATCTCCAACCAGCGCCATTGTGACTACCAATCAACCCTGAAGCTTGCAGCGCACAGTTCTTGCATTATCCTGGAGAAACATCGTCGCGCATATAATCGCCTTGGGGCTTCCTGATTCGCAGCCATGAATTATGTTACGTTCAACCAGGACTACAGCTGCCTGGCAGTTGGTTGGTGTCCTTTGTGATTCAATACCGATAATTACTAATGCCTCTCACCAGGAACTGCCAAAGGGTTTCGAATATACCACACCGAGCCATTCTCGAAGATATTCACGGGGGACAATGAGAATGTAACTATAATTGAGATGCTATTCTCAACGTCTTTGGTGGCCATCAAGCAGTCACCCAGACATATTGTGATTCAGAATACCAAGGTACGGCTTGAGATCAAGGCCATCATATGTCCTAGAAGCTCCGAGTATCACATATGCTGACTATTCTTTTCACTACAGAGAGGCACGGTGATATGCGAACTTACATTCCCATCCGCGGTCTTGGCGGTGCGGTTGAACCGAAAACGATTTGCCGTGTTGTTGGAGGAGGAAATATACTTGTACGATATACAGAACATGGGTCTACTATACACCATTTCTACGTCAGCAAATCCCAACGCTATATGCTCCCTATCCGCTTCGTCTGAAAACTGCTATTTGGCATATCCACTACCAAAGCCCAGGGAGGAGACTGGAGATAAGAGACCAGCCCATGCACCACCGCTCTCTCCATACGTTGCGCCGACATCCGGAGAGGTTCTCATATTTGACGCGAAATCATTAAAGGCTGTAAATGTTATTGAGGCACATCGGGCACCACTGTCTTGTATTGCATTGAACAATGATGGAACATTGCTGGCAACCGCGTCAGAAACAGGAACCATTATTAGGGTATTTTCGGTACCAGATGGACAGAAACTCTACCAATTTCGAAGAGGCACTTATCCATCATCAATTTTTAGTCTATCGTTTAATATGAGCTCTACGCTGCTCTGCGTATCTTCAAATTCGGATACAATCCATATATTCCGTTTGGGCGGACCGGTTACTGGTTTGCCGGAGTCCCCACGATCTCCCGGCGATAAGGATAAATGGAGACGATCCCGGAGTTTCGATAGTGAAAATGGTTCTCCTCCAGTTGGGATATCACCTGGAAGTGAAATGGCAGATGTTCCTGCAGAAAAAAGCAAGTCTAGCGGCACTTTTGGAAGCATGATCAGGAGATCGTCGCAAATGGTGGGCAAAGGTGTTGCTGGAGTTGTTGGAGGATACCTACCCCAGGCTGTCACTGAGATGTGGGAGCCAGCGCGAGATTTCGCTTTCATCAAACTTCCGAAAGGAGGAATGGGAGTTACTCCCCGCAGTGGTCCTGTCAAAAGCGTTGTGGCAATGAGTAGCAGTAGTCCCCAAGTAATGGTAGTGACAAGCGATGGGGGCTTCTACATTTACAGCATAGACATGGAGACGGGAGGAGAGGGGATCTTGGTTAAACAGTATTCGTGAGTAAAAATCCTGTGATTCATTTATATGTTTCTAATTGTTTCGGCAGTGTCCTTGAGAGCGACGACAGTCTGGAGCCACCGCCCATTAATTATGTGAGCTACCGTACTTAGAGGGTGTATGATTAATGGCGTTCTTTTTTATCAAGCTTTAGCGTGCTTTTTCTGATTTCAGTCTTTAAAACTCTCAGCATTATGTTAGGTGTTTCTGGTCGGTCGTTTTCGGTACTAGGAGGGAAATTATTGACCAAGCTTACGAGCCGTCTCTCATCTCATTGACTGTAAAAATTAATAACAAATATCACTAAAATTTCATCCCGTTCTCATAACATGCTACCTTCTCCACATACCTAGTAACTCTGATCGTTTTTCAGCCAAATACAGTAGGTTGACAAGTCTCACTTACAAAAGCGAATTTGACACGGAGGATGGTTCAACCACCTTTACCTAGGCTGGAATGGAGTGGAGCGGTAGAATAGGGCTTGCTTGAGTATTTCGCGCGAGAAGGATTCAGTAATAGGCACGGGTTTTGCTGCATGAAATTTGAATCGTCGACGGATAGGACAGGAGTGCAATCCCTCCGTACCTGTCTGTGCCAATGCAGTCCTGGTTAGATGTGTGGATTTTAGAGTGGATCGTATATGGTCAAAATCCAGCGTCCCCAGATTATTCATTGTCTAGGCCTTTTGTGGCAAGTGAATGAGGTAAGATGAGATGAGATGAAATGGGATGAATTAGGATGAAGCGCCGCGTAGATAATACTATACATTGGATCACGTTTCAGGGCACGATATACGAATACACGATGTAGGCACCGTACCTTGCAGAAAGACCCTGACAGATTGTACATCGCCTGCTTTTGTGGTAGATAGGATTATTCGGTGGTGGCGATGGGCCTTGAGGCTATTGGCGTGGTTGCGCAAGAATGTGAATCCTTTCGTTTAAGTTTAGATGATCATTTGGCGTAAGAAGAACGTTTCCGGAAGGAGTTTCACCGCAGAGAACTACCTACTGCATAGAGATGGATTGAACTGATGGGTGCTAGGCTGAGTTGCGTTCAGATATGTTACCCAGGGGGATTTTCGTTGACAGATAGAGCATATTTGGCATTCTTATGAATTTCTGTACGAATTCGCAGCAGTATGTAGGTACAGTGTTGTTTCGAATCCTTTGATGTGGGTGATTTGATAGGGAAAATTCTGGATTGGATTAAATTTGATTGGATGGTGGATTTAGAATCCTGATAGCCCCAAGGAGAACTTTGTATTTTAGATTTTTTCTTAGAAATTGAGGTTGCTGTTGTTATGATGATGATGATGTTACTGTTCATGTGATTTATTCTGTCTATGTAGATGATGTTGCATTCAGGGGAGGATTTTCGGAACTGAGAGAATGAGATGGAAGCACCACCACAGCCTCGGCGGAATGCAGATAGAATTCTGAAATTGCGTGTAGAAAATTACTTATGGGGGTTTTGGGATTAATATGATTGGATGATTCTCTCTCGTGGTTCCTACGCAGTTTACCTGCACGTCCAGGGTATCGAACCCCGTTTACATGATTCCTGAGTAGAGGCTGATCATTAACCGCGAAGTCTGCCTCCTCAAGGCAGAATTGCGGTATCAAAGTATTGAATTCCAGTATCAAGGCCAGCCAAAACAACAAAAAAAGAAAAGAGTCATCAAACAAGCAGGGAATGTGTGATGCATCGTTAGCATATGATCATCTCAAGTCTATTCTCGACCTCACGAAGAAGGTGCCGGTCATGGGGCCGTTATCACTTCGAATAGGCTGGGGCGAATGCCAGATCCATCATTGATAAATATAGATGTTATTCATTATTCCCAAACAAACAAATATGCATGACAAGGAGGGATTTTCACGTATGTATGGTCACTTTGTACAGAATAATCTACCCAAGGGAGAGTGTAGCATTGCATTGCATCGCGTGTAAATGTGCATCTGCATCTCTCCCACAATCACACAACATCGGACGGCCCCAAAACTTGGTTTTGCTCCCCCTCGTCTCCCTCCATCTACTCTCCTGCTTGTACTGGCCAGTCGGGTTTGAAAACTTCAGGGATCTAAGCGCTGTCGCAGGAAAAACACATCCGGCTATCAGCCAATCTCAACCTATGGGATTTATTTGGGACGAACTTACAAGGGTCGAAATTTCAGTTACAAGTTACAACAGCTAGGGTCTGCAGCTAGATCAGTATGGGTGTGTGGACATTTTCTCGTGGAGCACAGGCAGACGAGACGATCTCTCGTGGTTTTTACTTTACCCAGAAGACGAGCACCAGGAGTGTGGTTGTTGAAACGAGATCGACTCCATGGCTAGGTGTAAGAAGGCTTTTGATGTGTCTTGGGCTGTCTGACATCTTGTATATCATCATCACATTCATTGCGGTAGGTCAAATTTAGACATTTCCGAAAATGGGATTAGATGAGCGGATACGCAGATAAGATGAACATCTAGTCAACTAAATGTTGGATTCCACACATGGTAATATGGCATTCACCGTTTGGTTTCCATGGGTCGGGATTTGATCATTATTATTAATAAAGTGGAAAATTGTCATTTCGGTCCAACAGCCTCTTTTTTAATAGAGTGCGGTCCGATCATTAAAGTTATATGTATCCATCCGGTCCCAAAAAGATCTACATGCTTGTTAGCCTAGACCAAGAATTCGCACGGTCGATAATTAGATTGGCAAGGCAGGCTAGTTAGCATGTATGTGGGAACAACTGGCCCTATGAACTCGGTTGCAAACTTGGGCTTCTGACTGGATCGAGAGTACGAATATACGGACCCAAGTAATTGGGATGAAGGAAAAGAAAATGAGTTACATCCTATTGCATTCATGAAGGGCATCGGCAGGGAAGCAAATGTACTAAAGAACTGGCTCTATGATGCAACGACAATCCGCAAATCGTTCCACAAGGAGTAGATAGAGTGAAAGACTGAGGTAATCATGCTGTTCAGCCAAGATCACTGATAGTTGTACCAGTCTCGAGCCAGTCTAAGCCCTCTGATGCACTGATCAAGCACACCCGCAAATCGACCTAAACGAGCTTTCCCTCAACTATGTTGGTAGGATGTCAAAAGACATAGCCATTCAGGGTCATGCTCGGTAACCTGCCAGTTACAAAATATTCAAAGT